GAGGGGAGGGGGAGGGAGAAGAGGGGGCCCTTTCCTGCACCTTTCTGGTGTGTGTGGCGCGCGAACCTTATCTCAGGCCCTTCAGGCTGTTTTGCCAAGTTTCAGACGGCCGAGCTCTCTGCTCTCTGGCGCTGCCCTTCACCGTGGCGTTGGACCGAGACCACGGGGATGTTGTGCTGCTGCGGGGCTCTGTCGGCGCCCGCCGTGTCTGCTGCGTGTAGGTTCTCTCTCTGCCCCCCCCCCCCTCTCTCATGTTGGAGCAGAGGGATGGGTACTCTCCCGCCCCCGGTGCCCTCGGGGGATCGTACTTAGGGCTGTCCGTGGTGGAAGGGCCAGGGGCCAAGTGGTGGAGGGGGAGGGACTGCCTGGTGCCCGATGGTGCCCGGCGGGCGGGCAGGCGGTGCCCACGAGAAGCCTCCCGGGACGCTCCCCGCCTCCACTCCGCCGCCGTCTGTGCCGCGGAGATCCGGTAGAGAGGAGGGGAGAGTGAGCCCGCGACGTCCTCCCCAGGGCCCCGTCGTCTCGGTCGGCCCCTCCGGTCGCGATGACATGGGGCATGCTTCTTCTCTCAGGGATTGAAATGAACTACGCCTCCGAGTTGCCACCCCCAACCCTCTCACCCCACTTTCCCTCTCTCCATCTCTCTCACTCCTCCTCTCCGATTGGGCCTTCGGATACGGCCGCAGTGGCCAGTCCAGTTGCCCGGGACGTACTGGAGAGCCTCCATATATTGTATGAGGACAGGCCCATTTCTCCTACTCCCACGCTCTCTGATCACCTTCTTTACTCCCGCACGAAACTGATGAATGCCTGTTTACGAGGCTGGTCAAGTAAAAAGGGTGCCACCCACTCACATCCGTCCCGCGCTTTCACATTGCACTCATGTCCTGATTAGGTATACAGGTGTTCCTTGTCACTGCACCCCATGCCTGATCATAAAGATAGAAAAAACAGCCGCATGCAGGCTTTTTCTTATATCTTCTCATGTCTCTTAGTCAATCAGCTGTTCTTGGAAAAGACAGATAGTGCTAATTACGCTCTTCAAAGAAGGAGAGAAATAAAGTTCTACCTTGCGGCTCTAAGAGGTTGAATGACGTAAACACGACAGAAAAATGCATATTAGAGAGTGGAGCTTCTATTGACTGGCTAAAAACCACGCGTGTTTGCCCTGTTTATGTGACGGTGCGACGGTTATGGGTTCTAGAGCGATACTTCATCTCGTCTATCATGGCACAGGTGCGTTTGCCTCAGCATGAAAGTTTGATGGGGGAAAACGA